ACTCAGCCCCCAGCCACACAGAGAAATCAAAATTGACATTACGAAACCATTTATCATGCCTCAACCACATGTACAGAAGGAAGTAATATGGTCTTGGGGCCTGATTCAGAGTGACTTAGGTGGTTTCATTTATCTTCTGTGAGCCTCAGATTTTACAACTCTAAAGAGGAAACCATTACAATTTTCCTGTCTTCTCTAAGGGTTATTCTGCAGGTCAGATGATGTTGTACATGGGAAAGCACTTTGCGCACCCCCAGAATAGGAGAGTTCGAGTTGATGTACAGCCCAGGGGGCTCCCTGACCAGACTGTTGAGAGGCATTAAATGTGTTTCCATCTCCCTGTGTAAAGTCATGAGGAAATTGACAAATTCAGATTGTGGGACATTGTATTAAACAACTGGCCTAGACTCTTCAAAAATATTAATGTCATGAAAGACCAAAAGGAGAGAGTACTCAAACACACAGCAGCTGTCATGGATGGTTGGGGGGATGTGGCAAACAATAAGGATATCACTGAGATAGTTCATCAAGTTTGAATGTGAACTACGTACAAAATAATTGTGTAGAGGTTAAATTCCTTGGGTATGAGAATCGTATTGTTAAAAAGGACAGTGTTCTTGGGATGCCTGGGTGGGTCAGTCAGTGAAGCATCTGGCTCTTGATTTCGGCTCAGGTCATGATCTCACAGTTTGTGGGGTCGAGCCCCGCGTCAGGCTGTGTGCTGACAGCACTGAGCCTGCTTAAGATTCTCTGTCTCCCTCTCTCTCTGCCCCTCCCCTGCTTGCACATGCGCTTGTGCTTGCTTGTTCTCTCTCTCTCTCTCTCTCTCTCTCAAAAATAGATAATGAGCATTTAAAAAAAAAAAAAAAGGACAGTGTGTTGTCTTAGGAACTACATGCCAAAATATTTGGGGATGATAACACAATTGAACCATTCATGTCTGCACCCTACTTTCAGATGGGTCTACAAAAATAAAAATAACACATACGTATATCTTCTCATGTGTGCGCGCACCTGTGCGCATAATGTTCAAAACTAGTGTCTGGAGGAAGAGTACTCAAGTGTTTATTGTATTACTCTTGCTGTAGGTTTGAATTTTTAACATAAAGATAGGGAAAGGAATGTACTTTAATAAAATAAAACTAGTTTGAACCCACTTGAGGACAAAAGTAGTCTGTTATGTTTCAAGTCATGGTTATGTCCTAATGAGAAAAAAAAGCAGGCTAAGGGATTCTCTGAAATACAAAGAAAGGAAGGGGAGCCTAATTTAAAATTAAATGTCAAGTTAAGGCTTTAAAGGGATAAGGACGTTAAGGGGATTAGTATGTTGCCCAGTATAACACGTTAAGTGTTCAATAAATGTTCTCTGTAAGTGTGTGTGGAAGCGCGAGTGCACGCACACACACACAGGCACATACTCTTTCTTCACATCGGGCATATTATTTGAGCCTCCACCGTGAGCCAGAGGCTCAATGAACCCAGGTGTCATTGGCACCCACAGTTTGACCCTCGCCAGCCCCCTCTGCCCACAGCCTAGCCTTTCTCTAGGGTCAGCTGTGTAGCGTCCAGAAGAAGAGCAATTCCTGTGAGAGACCATTAGAGAGATCACCCCTGTGGAATTTTCAGAATTAAAGAAAAACAGCAAAGATTTCTTATTGGCAAAGATCTATTCTTTGTCTCAATGAGAAGAACATAATGCCCATTTCCGAACTCCTCTCCAGCTGTGTATAATATGGTTCATGAAGCTGCCCATTCCTCCTCTGAGGTACATACAGCATGGCACCATAGAAATAAAAGCGAGACTTCTGTGTGAGGCCGTGAGTGCATAACTCATCTTGAATTGCTGGATGGGACCAGGAAATGGAACACATGAGCGGCCAGCTATAAAAAGCACCAGAACACGAACAGGAGCTAGGATTCCCGACTCTGCCGCCAGGAGAGATGTTGGCTGAGTTTTTCCAGAGCAAGGAGTTCTGTGTCCTGGAAAGAGCAGCCATTTTCCCCCCTTTGTGTTGTCAAAAGAGAGTTAGTTACAGGGCAGTTTCAGCTAACCTAGTCTTAGCTTTGTTTTCTTCCTCGTACTGGTAAAAATCTCCTGTGTGTGGAGACAGAGGATTCTGGTCTTGCAGGGCTCTGGAGACTCTTCTCAGATTTACATGTTTTTGTTTTGTCACCTCTGTCTAGATCCCTCACAAAGTAATTGAGAAAGATTTCTTGCTCCCTGGTCCAGTTTTTGTAATGAGGGGCGGGGCCACTGGCTTTACCTCCTTAATTTCTGTGGGCTTTTTAAAAATATAGTTTAGAAATTTCCAGTATCTCAGTTTCTCTAACACATAAACAAGAGAAAGGCAAAGAGGAAGCCGTCCATCTCACACTTTAAAGGGGAAAGTCTTGTGATAAATTTAAAACTATGGGCATGTTTGAGCTTTCTGGAAGGAAATACTAAAATATACTAAAACCTGAAACCTGAAATATACTAAAACCTGAAACATACTAAAACCATTAATAAGAAAAGAACAGGATGGAAATTATCTGTAGGACAGCTCATAGGAAATAGGGCTTGATTAATAATTTAGAATTCGCAAGTCTTTTTTTTTTTATGTTTATTTTTGAGAGAGAGAGAGAGAGAGAGTTGGGGAGGGACAGAGAGAGGGGGAGAGAGAATCCCAAGCAGGCTCCATGCTGTCAGCACAGAGCCAGACGTGGGGCTCAAACTCATGAGACATGAGATCAGACCTGAGCAAAAATCTAGAGTCAGACATTCAACCGACTGGACCACCCAGGGGCCCAGAATTCCTCAATTTTAATTAAAGTAATCTGGGAACAACATCTTCTTAGATCACCGTGCCTCTTTCTAAGTCTCCCCACCCCCAACTTCCACCTTGAATAATTGTACTTGACCTCTCTTTTGGGATTAATATCACCTAGCAGAAGCTATTTCTATAAAACTGTAAATTTGCTAGTAGATTGGCAAGGGCTAGTAGATTCTCAGTTCACCTGTAGATTTCTCAATTTTTTCTTGAAACAAAAAGGTCAGAGTTGGAAGGAAGTTTCAGGGTCATTGAGTTCTGCTTTTTTATTCTAAACATGTGAAAAATAAGGCCAGAGAAGAAGTTACTTGGTAGCTCAGTGCACTTAGTGAGTCCAGTTTTTTTTGTGCAGCACCAGTTCCCGTTCCACCCCATCACCATGTTAGCCTCCTCCTGGGTTGTTATATTTCCAAGCACACTGACGGTAAGATGGTTCTCGTTTGTTATGCTGAGTTACAAAGGACTGATGCCTACTCTATGTGAATTTGACATCCAGGCCCTCAGAACTTTATGTGAGATTCTCGGGCCTATATCTGGTTAAAAACTTAGAAATTTACAAATATTGATACTGCAATAAGGTGATACGTATCTACTATATATGTCTATATGTGTCTCCTTACTGCAACATTAGATATAGATAGAGATATCTTCTTAATAATACGTTTTGTTATATGCGCGTGTGTGTCACTACCTTCTCTGTGCCTCGTTACCTCCCATACTGATGTCATTTGTCACTTCCTTCTTTCTCTGTGACTTAACATTTGCTTGGTTTTCTCTTAACTCACCACCACCTGTTAACTGACATGGATTTGAACCTTGGGTGTAGCATGGAATGACCTAGGGTAGGCCAAAGGAAACCTCCTCCTTCCACCCTGAGTCCCATTCTATTACCTATGGCCACACTTGACCTCATGCCCGAGTTAATGGGTAATAAGAAGCTGTTTGTCTGTGAGTCACCTAACATCCTGTAGGTTTTCAACTCTTGGCATCAGGAAGCAGCATTAGGCCAGCAGGGGGCGCAGTGAGCAGCAGGGAAGACCTGGGAAAGCAGGTGCCAGAGCCTTGTGTATCTTGTAGTTTCTAAAACTCTGAGACAAATCTAGACGCCTTTTTAAATATGTAGAGAAGTTGACAGGTTAAAAAAATTATTAGCTCATTTTAAATTACAGGTAAAACAAATGAATTCTCATTGGAGGCAATTCCTACAATACAGATAAAGTGAAAATTACCCCATCTCTACCTTCTTCCCTAGAGGCAATGGTTATCAGTCTCTCTTTCTAGACTTTTTTTAAAGTTTATTTTTATTTATTTTGAGAGAGAGAGAGAGAGCAAGAGCAGTGAAGAGGCAGAGAGAGACAGAGAGAGAGTCCCACAAACTGTGAATTCATGACCTGAGCCAAAATCAAGAGTCAGACACTTACCCAACCACCCAGGCGCCCCTAGATTCTTTAATACACTAAAGCTTATAATTCACCTGGAACTATAAATGTTTTTTCATAAATGGGATCATACTGTATTATTTTACAACTCTTTTCCCACTTCATACAATTTAGACGTGTGTGTGTGTGTGTACACATATAATTTCATTTTTAAAAACAATGCTGCCTAGGAATCCATTGAGTGACTCTTCTATGGTTTATTTAATAATTTTCCTACTGAGACTTCTGGTTGGTTTTGTTTTCTACTCTTAAACAGTGAGAGTCTTCTGATTATGTGTGTTTTCTAGTACAGATTCTTGGCTATGAAGAAATACATTCTTCAGATTTTTTAGGATGACATTAAAAAGAAAGTAGAGGGCTGATGCCTCATGATTCAAGACTTCACCATCAGTCATAATAGGGCACTGTGGCCTGGCTGTCAGCTGTACCAGAGGGAGAATGCTGTGACGTGCACGCACAGCTAAGTCCTCTTACTTCACAGCTGTGGTCAGCACAGTGGTTCATTTGACTCAAAGTCAAAACCACCAGGGTACTTACACTCCAGCGACCGCTGAGAAGGAAAGTTCTTTATTTGTCATCAAAGAGGATGGTGTGACGACTGTAAGCAGCCAGTAAAATGAACAAGGGATTGGAGTGAGCACGCCTGACAGATTCTGATTGGCAGCACTTTCCAGAGCCGTCCTTTAGAGGCAGTGGGTTGTGATGGTGTGGTTTTGGTTTCTTCTGGCTGATGTAGTCTCTATTTTTACAGTTGGCCGTCCGATCCCTGTTCATCAGACTCTGCATCCAACCACGGAGCAGATTGAGGAGTTACATCAGACCTACATGGAGGAGCTAAGGAAATTATTTGAGGCGCACAAAAGGAAGTATGGTATTCCAGAACATGAAACTCTCATTTTTAAATGACTATACTCTTAGGAGGCATACCAGAGGATGGAGAACGTCCCATTCATTGGAGAATACATATTTTAAATAAGGATTTTCTTCTCTGACGATGGAATCAAATTTGCAACTGGAAAGTATTGTTTGTGGTGATAGATGTTGATGAGTGTCCGTGGGCAAGAAAAATACCATCGGTGACTGTTAGAGAGGACTCTAACCCTTCTAATAATCCTCCTCATTTAGGAAGGGCCAGTTGTTTCACAGGTGAAGAAAAAGTTAAGAGTTATTCACGTGCTCAAAAAAAAAAATGACGGCTTGAAAAAGTAATTAGGCCCTTTTACTAAACACCACAATAATTTAAGGTAGTGTTTTCACTGACGATGGCGGCTGTGGTTTAGCACAGCTGGAGCACTTAGGAGACCGTGTGTGAGCGAATTTTCCACACAGAGCGAGTGGAGATCATTTCTTTTTTTTCTGCTTGAATAGACCATTTTTTTGGTGAATAATGTTACTTTTCAGGCTTAGATCATTTGATCCCTTTAGGTCGTGTCAACCAATGCATTTTTATACAGCAGAGCAGAATTTTTATGCAGTTGTGGAAATAGGATGAATCTACCATTTGGAAACCCACGTGGGTGAGAGTGTGCCTCTTCGTTTCTCTTCATGCTTAGAAACATTCAATGCTTGTCATTTGCTTAGGAGCATGTTCGTATGCTACAGACAAGGAGGTCTTTTGGGAGACCTGCATTAGAACGTTAAAATTCTGGAAGGTTCTCGTGGCCATAGAAATGATTTGAATTTCCTTCCCAAATAGCCTCTGTGAGTAAGGCCAGCTATGAAAGAAAGCACCCTCTCTGGTTGTCACGTGTACAATTACAGCTGTCTGGTCTTCGTTCCTTCTGATCACTGATACCTCCCTAGGGCCTCGGTCGGGCACAAAATAAGCATTGTTTAGTGAATATTTTATGGATGAACCCACAAAGGTGAAGAAGTTTTAAAGCTGTACCATAGGATGAACCTATTTTCAGAAAAGACCCATTTTCAGAAGGAGAGAACGTGCGGAGCCTGATTGTCTCATGGAGGCTCGTTTATGAGGCAAGTGAAAAGGGAGTTTCTGATCATTAGGGCGCTAAGAGTTAAGTAATTATTCAGTAAATAAGCGAGAAGAATGTTTCCAGATGATCTCCATTGCTATATGTTGCTTCTTTACCTCCTGTACTCTGGGTATTTGGGGCAACTTCATGGAGTTGTTCTAACTGACTAGTAATATATCTTCAGGCCTCTAATTTTTAAAACATCGAGCCCTGGGCTGGAGCGTGGACTGAGTTCAGCATCCGCCAAACAAAATGATGCTGGGTAATGTCTTGAGTAGGAAAGCATTTCACACAGGAAAATATGAACATGCCTTTGGCTCCACACTGGTTGAGCAATCCAGGAGTCCCCTGACCCCTGGCCTTGAAATTAGATCAATTTTTTTGTCAAAGCAGGGAATAGGACAAAACCTCTTTTTAATAGATGCAGAAAATTCAACTAGAAATCTTTTTTTCTTTAAATTTTTAATGTTTATTTATTTTTGAGAGACAGAGAGACACAGAGCATGAGCGGGGAAGGGGCAGAGAGAGAGGGAGACAGAGAATCCAGGCTCTGAGCTGTCTAGGGGCTCGAACTCACGGACCATGAGACCATGACCTGAGCCGAAGTCGGACGCTCAACCAACTGAGCCACCCAGGCACCCCTAGAAACCCTTTTTGGTATTACTCAACACCAACAAGGTATAAGGGAGCATCATTTACAGAAAATGACACCCTGGTCAGTCAGGGATCAGTCTTTCCTAATACCACAACGACTAGAGAGACCTTTCAGTTATTACAAAATCCATGAATGTCATCGCGTTAGAGAAGTTCATTAAAGTCTCCTGTGATTTCATAAAAATATGACTTTTAATCTCATACTTGGTATTGGGAGGCCAAGCTGACCCCCCAACACTAGTCAAATCATCTAATAAAGCAGTTAAAGCCCACATGTAGCAAAGCAGAGGTGTTGGAAAGTAAGCAAAGTTCTGCTCTGATGAATTTGTCGAGAATTTTGCCATGTCAAAAACCTAGGCATCAGCAAGCTTTTATTCTGGCATCCGTAAAATCTTATTTTTAGGTACATATTAGAGGTTTTATCTCCTTTCTCTCTTTGGGTCTCCAGGGGTCTTCAGCCAGCCAGAGGTCCTTTCACAGACCCAAAGCCTAGCTGTAAGCTCCATATAGTCCTACAAATTGCAAGTGAAGGTTTGGACATGAAGCTTTGCTACAGCACAATCGGGAGCCATATATTGTACTCACTAATAGGGTTTGACGGAGAGCGCCTCTATTTTAAAGATTCTCATCTACTCTGATGTTCAAGCAGTGAGGCAAACAATGATAGCAACATAGATAACCCCAGGACACAGTAAGAGAAACAAGACCTAATTGCCTTGAGGAAATGTGCGTTTGCGCCATGTGGCTTGGATATTTCTTCCTCCTGTGTCTCTTGCTCACTGGGCATGCGCTGAGTCATGTGCTTTGTTTTGCAGCTAGAAGGGTTGAAATGATCTATATCCCGTGAAGTCTGTTATGCTCACATTGAAGATGACAGCTTTAGTGCTTAGAAAGGCCGGCCAGCTTTGCTGTGTCCCAAGGGGAACCAGGACAAGGGACACTACATGGTTTATAAAAGCCCTTCACTAAGACTCCGGAAACAATCGAAGTATATATATACCTCAGGGATGAAGGGTGAGCCTTTAGTGTATGCATAGCATTAAAAGTAAAATCCCTCTCTTCAGTAGAAGGTACGCTTTGGTCGTGGGAAACACAGGAAGATATAACTCACATCTCTTCCAGACTACCTCACCCATGATGCAAATGGCCAAAGTACATGATAAATCTGAAAACAAGTTTGGGGTCTATTTACTCTGTCTTCTTTTCCTTTGACAGGACAGACAGTGTTGATGGGATTTGTTGTGGGTTTTTTTTTTTAAGGTTTATTTTATTTTTGAGAGACAGAGACAGAGCATGAGTAGGGAAGAGGCAGAGAGAGACACAGGATCTGAAGCAGGCTCAAGGCTCTGAGCTGTCAGCACAGAGCCCAACGTGGGGCTCGAGCCCAACGTGGGGCTCGAACCCACAGACTGCGAGATCATGACCTGAGCTGAGGTCGGCCGCTTAACCGACTGAGCCACCCAGGTGCCCCTAAGGGATTTGGTGATTGGTTGTTGTTTCCCCACCCCCACCCCAGTAGCCCAAGATCGCCAGGTCTTATACTGTATTTGTATTTTTTTTTAACCAAGTGATAAAATATCTATTTCTGGGGCTGGGAGAGTTCCTTCAAATAGAATTTGTATATCCTATTAAAGGATAAAAACAAGCCAACTTCTATATCACCAGTCAGTCCCTCTGGTTTCTCTGGGCTGGCAAGCACAGAAGCAGTTTTTTATATTTAAAACAAGGATTTGTCTAATGCCTTCTATTTCAGTAATGTTCATTAATCCTTCTGAGACACGCATAGCTCAGTGCCTTAATACCGCATATAAGAAGGAGAAGGTCTGTCCCCATCCATAGTCTCCCCAGGGAATGAGGTGTTCCTTAGTAGCAGAGCCTGTGTCGTGTGTGTGCTGTGATCCTGGACCCACAGAGCAGGCTGTCCCCGCTCTCAGTGAAGGCTCGTGGCACTAACGTAGTCCTAGAAGCCAAGCTTTAGAGGCAGAAGGGGCGTCACAGTCTGCAAGTTATTCCTTCTGCAGATGAAGCAGTTGAACCCCAGTGGCTTAGTGTGGGTTGGAGCCAAGTCCATGTTCATGTTACACTGCTCTGGTGGAACAGTAGATAGCGCTCGTTCGTAGCTGTTGATGAATAAACCCATGCATCTTCCGATAAAACAGAAGTGTCAAAACATAGAAGATGATGAAAAACACTCATAAAGCAAGGGATTTAGCCACTCCGAAGCGAGCTCTGTCTTCTTGGGGCCTAGAGCAGTTTTCTTTTTCTTTTTTGAGACCGGCCCAGCGCATTGTTGATTTTTCCCTTTTGCAAGAGCTATTTTGGTGATGTGCGCTGGGTGACATCCAAGCTTTCAACAGCGGGCTGAGCCACTAGAGCCTTCGGTATTTGAGCAGCAGGATAAGGCGAGGGGCTTTGCGCCCAGGATGGGTGACAGACCCCACAAAGGATTCCCCCTCTCAGCCATGTTGCCACCATTCAGACAGGTCACAGCAGTCCTGTAGCTCAGACAGAAGTGGAAGCGGGGCTGTGGTCACTTCACTGACGGCCTCAAGCCCCAAGCCCATTCTGGCTGTAGCTTCACCCAGCTGGGTTATTACAGCTGCTTTTCTTTTTTTATAGCTCTTAGATTCTGGTTAAGAATTTTCCGAGGCTCTCTTGAGAATAAAGACAAATCTGACCTTCTTGTATTCCCAAGGGCTGTATAATTTTTCCCCAGTCTGTTTCCAGACCAACTTGGAGCTTCCTGGTTGGATTCCAACTGTCCAGTCTGGGCTATGGTCATGTGGAGACAGCCAGAAAGCATACCTGTGCTATTCTTGTCTACCTTCCAGGCTTCTATTTCAAATAACCCTTTAGCCTCTGGGTCTCCACTAACTGGCGGGGTGACCTGGGCTCATTCTCCTTCCTGTTAGGAGCGAATGATCTCGAAGGCTCCCTCTGGCTCTGTCTTTCTGGTCTCTGCCTGTTCTGTCATGGTAATGACATCTAGTGGGAGATGCAGATATATCTGTAGACTTCTTTTTCCTCTTCCGCCCTCCTTTGTGTTCCTTTGGACATGCAGAGAGTTCCAGTGACTGTCCCCCTTTCTTAGTACACGCACAACAGAAATTGCTACGGAAATTCCTCCAGCATCACAGTGACCTTCAGTCATGGTGTTTCTATGAAACAATTTCATTCTCTAAATAAAAATTGGAAGGGCGCCTGGGTGGCTCAGTCAGTTAAGCGTCCAACTTCGGCTCAGGTCATGATCTCGCGTCTCGTGAATTCGAGCCCCGCGTTGGGCTCTGTGCTGACAGTGTGGAGCCTGCTTTGGAGTCTGTCTCTCCTCTCTCTCTGCTCTTCCCCTGCTTGCGTTCTGTCTCTCTCATTAAATTTTTTAAAACATTAAAAAAAATTTTTTTAATTGGAGACATTTTTCTAAGCGATTTCCTCCTTTACACACTTCAAAACTGTGAAAATAACAGTTTATTCCTTGTTAAAATCTTTATAGGAGGTGGTGGGTTTTTAGATTTTCTACATCGTACGTGTTTGCTCTGTGCTTTTTAAAAGCTCTTGGTTGATAAAGTTGTGACCAATAAATGGGCTTTATGCCCAAGCTGTAAATGTGTGGCTCTGGTGTTTCATCCGAGTAGAATGGTTTATCTTTCCACGCCTTGCCAACGCTGAATTCACTTGGACTTGAGGACAGATACAGATGCAGCGGAACTGTGAGCTTTGCAAATTCTCTTACCGAAGAGCCCAGCGTTTTAGATCCCCCACATGAGAGAAAAGACAAAACAGAAGGCAGGGACAGGGCTAACTGAAAAGTACAGATGTGCCAGATGAAATGAGAGCAGAGAACAGGAAGAGGAAACAGGACAGGAAGCTGCCGTGATCAATATAAGAGTGAAACTTGTTACTTACAGAACTGTTCAGAAACTGGTAGAAATATCGATAGATTCCAAATCAAGGGAATCACTGTTATGGGTACAGGGTTTCTTTTCGGGTGATGAAAATGTTTTAAAATGTGACTGTGGTGATGGCTACATAACTCTGCAGATATTCTAAAAACTACATGTGCGCCTCTCTTCAAATGGGTGGATTTTAATATATGTGAGTTACACCTCAGTAAAGCTGTTTTATATACTTAAGTCAGTCATATACTTGGCATAATAAGGGAAGAAGCTAAAAACTAAATTTCTTTTTTTTTTTTTAATGTGTGAGACGTAAAATTGCCTGCCTGCCTTTGGTGCCAGCATTTTGGATAATAAAGTTTACACTTTGATTTTTGAGACTTGTTGGTGTTATCAAAACAGGTGTTTTCAATCCTCTTAAAATATTTTATTGGATAAAGAACATGCTGTTTTATTACTGTGTAAAAATACTGCTTGACTTTAACTTTTCCCAGTATTTTATTAATACTGTGGCTAATACTAAATAAATATTACATAAAACCTATCAATATTTATTGACCACCTACAATGTACCAGATACAGAGTTAGGAGACCTTATGTACATAATGACATTTAACTCTTAAAATAGCCCTGTGAGATCTGTACTGTTTTTATCCCATAAAAAAATTGGGGTTAAGGGGCACCTGGGTGGTTCATTCGGTTAAGTGTCCAACTTTGGCTCAGGTCATGATCTCACGGTCAGTGAGTTTGAGTCCTGCATTGGGCTCTGTGCTGACAGCTCAGAGCCTGGAGTCTGCTTTGAATTCTGTGTCTCCCTCTCTCTCTGCCCCTTCCCTGCTCATGCTCTGTCTGTCTCTCTCTTCTGTCTCTCAAAAATAAATAAACATAAAAAACAATTTTTTTAAAAACTGGGGTTGAGAGGGGCTAAGAA